CCTTGACACACTATAATGATGATAAAATAGGATAAATATCCTAACATTTACAAAAGGTCTTCCCACCTAGTGATTTCATGATCTCATATGCAAGCTGGCTGGAAATGATAGATATCCATTCACAACTTATGGGGGAGAGTTGTAAGTAGAATATTAAATGCATTACTAGAAGTTGGTAGAATATTAAATGTATTACTAGAAGCTAATACAAGTTGTTAGAAGACTATAGAGATATCCTTGTAATTATTACTTCAGGTCAGAGTTCGCTATATATAGAGGATAATGTACTATTTCAAATGAATCAATTGAATAAAAATACACTTTCTAGTGTTTCCTTTGCCCCCAATTTTATTTAGTGCATAGTTATGTTTTTGGCTTTGCCATGTTCCACCATTTAAGATAAAAACAACAATGACATTTAACATACTAAGAGTTTTTCTCATATCCTAAAATATTTAATATATATATATATATATATATATATATATATATATATATGTGTGTGTGTGTGTGTGTGTATGTATATTAAAATAAAAATGATTGCAAGTGCATATAATAGAACAATAAAATAAAAATATTCAACAAAATAAATTCACCTTCGACTATAAATTTGATGAAGAGTAGATATTAACCAGCTGTGATTCTTTTCTTGGTCTCGTGTCTCATAACCAAATTTCAAACCATCCATCATAGTGCTCATCTCATTATTGTCAACTATAAAATTGATTCTCCTACTGGTAACCTACAACAAGACAATGGCATTTCAAACTAATGCAGTTGAACTATATTTAAGGCAAGAGAATAATTTGTATATTCTTCATCCATTTTTCTGACAATGAAAATAGCAGCCCAAATCTTAACTAACTCATCTATAATTTTTCATGTATTTGATGGTAGAAAGTAACCAAAAGCTACAAAACCAAGAATAATGATAATAATAAGAGTAACTGAGAGATAAGTATCATCGGCCAGAGTACATTCATCGTGATCTTATCATGTGTCCCACACTCCCCATGCACTGCTCAAAACCATCAATTCTACAATATCCTTACACTATTGTGATACTTCTTTTCTACAACCCTTTTGCTGTTAAGTGTGTCCTCAACCCATGGACCAAATCTTTAAGATAGCTCTCATCCCTTCGAAAGAAGTAGAAAAGGAAAAAAATGTGGCGTGAGTCTTGTGGCATGAGTCTTGTATTACACTTTGGTACATTTGGTTTGGTGCAATTCTCATGTATCAAAGTATATCACAACACTTGGGTACAAATAATGGTAGGATTAGGTATTTGACTTCTACTTAGTCTATATAGCATGATTTTTTAATCGGTTTCCTTAACAGAATTGTTGAAGGATTGTGGAACCCTACTCCATCTATGCTTTCTTTGATATTTTGTTTTTTGTGAATATTTTAAGGAGACTATTTCCTAGGACTAGAATCAGCAATGCAACTTCATAACTACTCCCATGATCATTAATTTATTTTAGCATGTAATACATGAACCACATACTTCTAAATTATCGGAATGTGAAAATATGTGTAGGCAATAAGCAATAATTGTGGAATCAGAATATAGATTTGTCCAATTAATGTGCAATACATATACCCATATTTCAACACTCCCTCTAAAGCTAAGGATAAATGTCCTCCATTACCAGGTTGGTTATGAGATTATGGAAGTCTGAGGTATCAAGTCCTTTTATTGAAACATCATACACCAATTTCTTTGGCGGAATGTATGCATGCAAATTAAATCTTCTTCTAATTTTTTCTTAATGAAGTGTCTATGAATTTCTAAATGTTTTGTTCTAGAAGGTAGTCTATTAATTAGATAACAAGCAATGAGAACAGCCTCCCCCCAAAAACTTTTAGGAACCTTATGTTGACAACGGAGAGCTCTAGTTTGGTCAAGAAGGTGACCATTTTTCCTCTCTGCAATCCCATTTTGTTGAGGAGTTTTGACACAACAGGACTCATGAATAATACCTTCCTTTTGACAAAAAGAAATAAGCCCATGATTGAAGTAATCTTAGGCATTATCAGATCTAATCCTCTTAATGCTAACACCAAATTGATTTTTTACCATTGAGAAAAAATTTTGAACCACAGAGCTTACTTCAGATTTCTGTTTTAGTAAGAAAACCCATGTGACATGAGTGCAATCATCTATAAAGGTAATAAACCAACGAGCAGCAGAAACATTTGTGACATTTGAGGGACCCCATACATCAATATGAATTAAATAGAAGGGAAAAGTGCTCTTATTATTACTAACCGGGAAAGAAACACGTTTGCGTTTAGCAAGTTCACACACTTCACAATTGAGACTTGCCACATCCAATTTGCTAAAAAGGGAAGGGAATAATAATTTTATGACCCTAAAAGAAGGATGTCCAAGACGACAATGATGGAGGAAGACCTTCTCCCTGCTGGTCTTTATTGAATCAGAGAAAAAAGAGTTGCACGACAAGGGGTGTAAGAGGAGAAAATGTTAGATAAGGGTGTCATATGGTCGGTAGCCGCAGAATCTAGTATCCAATATCGGTTAGGTTGTTTATCTGAGGCATTAAATCCAAAAGAAGGAAACTCGTCAAACATACCCAAATGTGCTAGAGAACAACTACATGGTGATTTATCCAACTTGTTAAGGAAGGAGTGCATCTGTTGAACTTCATCCTGGTTAAGTGGAATTGGTCTGCTGCTGTTTTCTTCATGTTTTGCAGCACCTAGGTGTGCTTGTCCGCCCTTTCTACTGTTGTCGCCTCTTTTTCCCCACTCCTTTTCACGATTTTGGGATCCCCAATCTCGATTAGGAGGCTTTCCATGTAGCTTCCAAAATTTATCACGAGTGTGGCGAGGTTTTTTATAGAAGGTACACCACACTCCTTTATTTTTCTTTTCCATATTGGTGAGTCCTACCTTTTGGGGATCAACCATCTTTGGCCGATCCGGTTGCTACCATGGTTGAGTTTTCCATGGTTGGGGATTCTACCATTTGTAGGGAGGTTCGACACACACACATACACATAAATCTCCACACTAGTAAGATATTGTCTGCTTTGGATCAAACCCTCATGGATTTGCTTTTGGTAGCACTCCAAAAGGCCTCTTACCAATGAAGGTATCTTATGTGTATATAAACCCATGTCCTTCTCTTCTTTTATCTGATGTGGGACTTTGTTTGTACCAACATCCTCCCCTCAAACAAAGGACTATGGTTCTCCACCTCCTTGGTCACAACACTGAGCATCTCTTGCTCTCCACCTCTCATGATTCATCTGGCTAGCTGCCATTGTCACCTGCCAGAGCTTCACCTGAACATGGAGGGATGTACTCGACTGAGCCAGGTCACCATCTCATAATTTAGGGTAAAACATATATATCATTATGCTGAGATTACAAATCCATATATACAATGCTAGAAAACTATTTTAGGCAGTATAATAATAGCTCCTAAAGAAAGAATCCCTATATTTCAAGGATATCCTAATCATACCTGATAATTATAATCTCCTAAATAAGGAACAAATATAATTAATAAAAGCAAAGACTTTAATAGAAATAATATAGATAAAAGGATTCTAACACCTATTCAACCCTACTGCCAGTTCTTCCCAACATGGGTTCTTGGTTTTTTGTTTCCAAAATTTAAACCAGTGACATGAATTCTCCTCCATAGTGATGAAGGCCAAGCGTAAATTTTCTCTTGCCGTGACATTTTGCACCTCAGAATTTTTCTGCCCTTGAAATGTATCCTAATGGATCACTCCCTTCAAATGTAGGTAATTCCACCCGTTTCATCGAATGTCTGCACTTCATCCCCTTCCTCGTTGGATTTGTTATAGTGTCTAGATCTTTCTTTCCTCCTTCCTTAATCATTAATAGTGTTTTCACCCCCTTCCGACCTTTTCTCATTTTTCTTGGAATGTCGCAGCAGTTCTCTGATTTCTTGCATACTATCTTTCATGATAGCTATGTTCATCTTTACCTCCACCATTGCTTTCTCTTGATTGCTGCCCTATCTCTGTATAGCATTCATTCTATTCTCCATAATCCCTTTCACAGATCTGGGAGGTCAGACCAAAATCTTACTTTCCTCGATTATGGGATCCAGGAAACAAGACCACACACCAATCTTTCCTGAATATTCCTCATGTTATTACCTTCAGAGTGAGTCAGAAACAGAGAAACCAAAGTATTTGTTTACAAGGGATAATGTTCTCTTCCCATAGGACAACAATTCCTGTCAACTACACAAAACTCAAAATCCACCTTACACAACAACCCTTCACCCTATATAAAAAGACTTTCTCACAAAGCCTCACTCCTTGACACAAAAGCCCCTCTAACTACCTTTTATTAATAAGTTTTCTCTTAACATATACATTCCATTTCCTATCACTATCTCTCTGTGCCTATCAGTCACATTTGATGAAAATACACAATGTTTCCATTCTTGTCTTTAAGGGGGAAAGCTCATGGATTGAAGATAAGGACAATTCATTCTTGACAAAAAA